TTTAATTATATGTTGCTGTTATATATAATATAAAATTAAATTAATGTACTTCAAATTCTTGATGTAAATATAATATAATATTTAACAACTGTACTTATCAAAACAATACATACTAAATATTTTATTGATCGAAATTAATTTTATACGAGGATATCCAATTTTTAAAAATCATTTGAAAATAATATTTCTAATAAACATGTATTTTTACAACATGTTATATGTTTTCAGATAAGTGCTGTACCACCAGGTTGATCATCAAGAAAATACAATATAGGTATATTTTTCATCAATCATAGATAAATAATTCTTATATAATAATGCTTAACTTTAATAATTTAAAATATATCAATCTGAGAGTCTAAATATATAGAAAAGCATGTTGACAATCTAATTGATATTCAAAGTTGCTTGCGATTATATTTTTTATTTTGTAATTCTTAAGTTTGCTTTAATTCTCGTTGTGTATTATCAGATTTTTCTTTTACTGGTAAGACGATGTGAATCTTTTTATTTTGAAGATATTTTGTGATAGAAAACTAAATTAATAACAGCCGGAAAATTTTATTGATATTTATGAATATTTTTTGTGTGTATTTTATAATTTTGTTTTATATTTTTATAGTTGAGAGATACCTTCACATCACGCTCGCTCAAGCTTTGACATCATTGGTGACACCAACTAACAACTTTGTATACCTAAGGTTTGTATAATCTTCATTTTCTTTTTTGCATTTACTATTTCCAATTATATTCTTGTTAATTCTTATTGATTTAATTGTGATGATAATTTTATAAATGATTCTAATGATTTTAATTATCCTAACGTGTACTGAATAACGTGTGCTGAAAATTTAATTTATATGATATATCATTACATATATATTATTAATTTCGAATATTTGTTTCTGTGTTAAAGGAAAGTCCATAATGAAAAACTAATACAAATTGGTATGATATATAGAACGCATCAATTATATTTTAAAGGTGAGATTGTTTGAAATTTTTTAAGAAAATGCAAAATTATTTTGAATAATTATTACATTCTTTGTTTTTTTTTTGCATGAACATTTAAAATACGTGTTCAAAACGCACAAATCCTTTTCGTTTTATCTGATATTTAAAAAATGATAATATTTGAATTTTTTTTAAAGTACGTTTAAAAATACACATTTAGATCAAAAAGAATGTTTAATTAATATTCTCACAAAAGTAGAAATCGGATAATTGTCAGAAAAATCAAGGAAATCAGGAAATTTTGCGAAACTTTTTGGAAAATAAAAATTGTTGACTTCAAAGAAGTTAATTTAATAATTATTTACATTAAGGGACACCGCGCTGATGGTCTTATCTTGATATATGTTGTCAAAGTCATGATTCTATGGGTGCGTTCCAATTTACGCATGAAGCGCATGATGTATCGTTTTATCCTTCTTTATTATTTGGTGAATAACAAGGACAAATAATGCATCATGCGCTTTATGCGAAACTCGGAATGCACCCTAAGTAACTGTGCCTTAACAATAAAAAAATATGTTTTAATTATGCTTCAACTTGTAAAAAGACTTTTCCCTATCCCAATATTAACAGATTTTTCAAATCAGAACGAAAACAAAAATTTTTTTAATGTTATTGAAGTCAGGGGAAATCATAAAATTTTGTCTGGAAACCAAGGAAAAGTTTTGGACTTTTAGAATGAGGAATTTATGATAATCCTGTTAATGTTAAATGTATCTACATCGATGTAATAAGTATTATCAAGACTGCACATGATGATATTCTTTCGGGGCTGAAGCCTGATGTAAAAATACTAATTCCAACGTGTACTTTATCTTTGACTGAAGCAAGTCTTGAATTATATCTTGTTCAAATAATTAAATGTTTATACTTATTTTTAATAAAAGTGTGTAGAGAATTAAAAGACGCACTCTTAAAAGTATTTTTGAATTTTTATGTTAAAGGAAAGCCCATTATGAAGAAGTAACACAAATTGATCTGATAAATGGAGCATCAATTATATTTTAAAGGTGAGAATATCATTTGAAATGTTTTAATTAAATGCGTTTAAAAAATGCATGTTAGTATACTAAAAAAAATAATGTTATAAATATATTTGCGCTGATATAATAAGTATTATCAAGACTGCAATGATGATATTCTTTCGGGGCTGAAGCCTGATGTAAAAAATCTAATTCCAACGTGTACTTTATTTTTGACTGAAGCAAGTCTTGAATTATATTTTACTTAGTTAGTTAATTAGTTGTACTTATTTTTAATAAAAATATTTTGTGTAGAGGATTAAAGGACGCACTCCCTCTCAAGAGTACTTTCCAACAACAAGTAATTGAAGACTACTTTAGCTTTATTTAATAGAAAGGTAAATTACTTGTCAAATTTATTAATTATTCTATATTAAACTTTTCATTCGTGTAAAAAATCAAAATATTACAACAAAAAATCACTAATTACTTTATCTTATTAATAATGTGATTGACATTCCGATAAAAAGAATTGTTATTAGCGTACTTGCGAGAAGAATAAGTAAATATGGGACACAATTTTTTATAGTTTTATGCTGAAAGTAAACTGATGAATAACTGGCTAGAGTCCTGAATGAAAGATGAGAAATCACTCGTTCATATACTGATTTGTAAAATGTGTTAATTTTTACATGAATATTCATTTATGAAAATAATCAATTTCTATTTGTTACAGCATTCTATACAATTTGGTCCAGCAGTTGGAACTTAATTATTTAAATATCTATATTGATTTTTTATATTTGAATAAATATATTCTTTTATTAAAAATGTGTTAAATGTGATTTATTTTAGATATTTTTTGACTTATATCATAAAACATTGTTATTTAGCGGATATGAATTGGAATTAATAAGTGAAGAATATCAAGATAAATGGGTATTGACATTTAAGATATTTAGAAAAATATATATACATATCTCGTGAAAAAAGCTTTGACAAAACATTTTATTGTTAACCGCAGAAAAAGCCATATACACTTTCACACGAAATCGATCATAGTTCGATAATAATATTGAAAAATTTACAATAATTAAAATGTACATAAATATAAAGACGACGATGATGTTGCACGTTCCTTTCGTGTGTGCCAGAACTGTAGAAAAATTATCTCGAATATCTTTCGCAACACTCGTTGAACAACTTATTCGGTGATAATACAGGCGTGTATATAATTCCTTTCCTTCATTCAATAAGATGACAATGCTAATTGCGTTCTGAGGTGCGCTTTTTATAAATTCACAGAGCTTTGACTTCACACATGAGATATGATATATTTAAAATCGAATACACGGCCGGAGCGGGTGGAAGGAACGATTTTTGGTGTTTTGCGCTTCTATAAATCTATCTAATCCTATATACTTTTAGCCGCGACGGTCAAGTGCCATATAATATATTTTATATATATATATATATATA